TCGGCCAAGGCCATGGCCGAGGGAAGGTTGCAAGAGGACATAGAGGCAGCTTGCTGCCTGTAGCGCCGTGAGTTGGAGCATCGACGTGCCGTACGGCCGGATGAGCCCGGTGGCGAGCGCCTCTAGGTTAGTTCCAACGAAAGCATTCGACTGTTGATGATATAGATCCTGCATTACCTTAAGGACCCTAAACTATGGGAATCATGGTATATCCTTATTATGGGTAATGCAGGATTTATAATATCATCAACCGTATCCCAAGCGTATGTCAGCTCGGCTTTGCTTGGCTCGGGGCGTGACGACAATGTCGTCACTTCCCGAGCCAAGCAAAGCCGAGCTTCACCCAGCGGATCGAATCGTTTCAGCTTGCTCAATTCCGACACTTTCGTGACCGTGAACGCCGGAGATAGAAGTACAAAGAAAATCCTGCAGGCCACCAATCTCTGTGGCACTGTGGAGTAGACATGAGCTGATCTGCACTATGTCGCTCACCATGTCCTCGGTCGGGGGGGTGGGGTTCAGGGTGGCAGATCCGAGACGCAAGAAGGTAAATGTCAAGCTGGAACAAGATCCCTGAGGGCTGACAGAAGCTAAAGACGTCTTCGCCTTCAGCTTCTGTCCACCCTCAGGCATTCTCTTCCAGCTTGGCATCTACCTTCTTGCGGACATAGCTACGGTCACAAGGCCTCTCTACGTACAACAGGCGACGAGCTTCGCTAATATAACCCTAAACTCTAAAACCCTAGACTGTATGAACCCTAAAATGAGCGCAGGATTGGTGCATTGTGGGCCCGAACTGCAGCGCCCATGCAGAGGCCGTCAGCTGAACCCTGCCTAACGCTGCCGAATCCATGGAAATGCGTCGGGAACCCACCAAGCTCCCAGCCTTGAACCTATAGCCGCTAACCCCAACCCACGCAAGGGTTTAGGGTTTAGGGTTCAGGGTTCTGACTGAACGAGTAGCACCACAGAAAAGATACGTAGTTGCATTCCAGAAAACAAGGAGAATCCCAAGCCTCAAATGCCACAGTGTCGAACCTCATAAGGGCACCCCCTGAGCAAAAGTATTGTTGCGACTTGTCACCCCCCCTTGCTTATCCCTTGCAGCGCCTTAGAAACCTATCAAAACATGAACCCGAGAATCTACAAGACCTTATGGAATCCTACAGAGCCCTCGTAGAATTCCTGCCAAGCCACGCAGACTATTGAAGAGCCACAAAAAACCCTTCACATTGCTTATACGAGGACGATAAGGCTATAAGGGGATGTTATCACTAGTTCATATATTGGTTATGGAAGAACCATACTACTATTCCTCGACCCCCTATGTTCTCCGAGCCTTCCCACAGTCCTACCCCTTGTTAAGCTTCTAAGGACTTATGTAAAGAACTCATAATAAGGAACCCTAAAACACTATAGGTTCTTTAGGGTCCAGGAATACCCTAAACCCTCGACCCTACACCCTATATACCCTAAACCCTCAACCCTAAACCAAACCCTAAACCCTAAACCCTAAACCAAACCCTAAACCCTAAACCCAATCTATATACCCTAAACCCTCCTAAACCCTATAAACTCCAAAATTCTTTAGGGTCCAGGTATACCCTAAACCCTAAAACCTCATCCAAACCCTAAACCCTAAACCAAACCCAAAACCCTCAACCCTAAACCAAACCCTATATACCCAAAACCCTAAATCCCTAAACCCTAAAACCCTAAACCAAACCCTAAAACCCAAACCCCCGACCCTAAATCCTAAACCCTATAAACTTTAAAGTCGTTTGGGTCCAGGTATACCCTCAACCCTCAACCCCAAACCCCAAACCCTAAACCAAACCCGGAACCCTATATACCCTAAACCCTCAACCGTAAACCAAACCCTAAACCCTCAACCCTCAACCCTATAAACCCCTAAATATTTTGGGGGTCCAGGTATACCCTAAACCTTCAACCCCCAACGCCAAACCCTAAACCGTATATACCCTACACCCTAAACTGAACCCTAAACCCTCAACCCTATATACCCTAAACCCTCAACCCTCAACCCTAAACCCCAAACCGTCCTCCGGCGCCGTGAGCAGGTCGAGGCCCTGAGCTGCTGCATCAAGCACCTCGAGGACTTAAAGGATCATGGGTAGTTATAAGTGGGGTTTATGGGGTTCCTGTAGGGGTTCCTTTAAAGGGTTCTATAGGGTTTAGGGTTTAGGGGTAGTTCTAAGTGGGGTTATAAGTCCCCTAATATGGGTTATAAGTACTTGAAGGATCATGGGACTTAGTAAGTAAGGTTATAAGTCCCTTAATTGGGGGTAGAGTTACCTTAGTTATAAGCCTACTTACTAAGTCCCATGATCCTTTAAGTACCCCGCTTGGGAGCTTCAGGAGGGTGTTCTTTCCGGCTTTGGGTTTAGGGATTAGGGCTTAGGGTTTAGGGGTTTAGGGTGTAGAGGTTTAGGGGTTTTGGGGTTTAGGGCTTTGGGCTCGGGGTTTAGGGTGTAGAGGTTTAGGGGTTTAGGGGTTTAGGGTTCAGGCTTTAGGGGTTTAGGGTTCAGGGTTTAGGGGTTTAGGGTTTAGAGGTTTAGGGGCTTAGGGTTGAGAGGTTTAGGGGCTTAGGGGTTTAGGGTTTAGGGTTTTAGGGTTTTAGGGATTAGGGTTTCAGGGTTTAGGGTCGCCCACAGACTCCCAGGTATTGTTATGTCAATTATGTGGCATAGTAGAAAATTCCGAATGCAGAAACCCTACGTTCTACAACATAGCTACTTGGGGAACAGCGAAGTCTAGGCTTGCAGACCGGTCTTTTTGGGTTTAGGGTTTACTTAAAGGATCATGGGACTTAGTAAGTAGGGTTATAATTAGGGTAACTATACTTATAACCCCAATTAGGGGACTTATAACCTTACTTACTAAGTCCCATGATCCCCCAAGGACCCTAAACCCTAAACCCTAAACCCTAAACCCTAAACCCTGTTTGTGCAGGCATCCTCGGCACCTCTCTGAGAGTGTTCGCATCCGAAGGCACTTTAACGGCCCAAGGAGGGAAAAGAGCGACGGTTCGCTCGTTGACTGCCAACTTGATTGGCAGCGGAGCCGGATAGGCTCTCGCTTCCTAGGTTGGAAGCACGGCTCCCGATGGGGGATCAGAGCCATGGCCTCCGCTACTTCAACGGAGATGACAACATTGATTGGCGAGAGTATCGCCGCTGGAAGCTTTGGTGTCAGAATAAGTTTCTGGTCATGGACAAGCTGCCGAAGGAGGCGAGAGGCAGCTTTGTGTGGACATTGCTCCAGGGCAAGGCCTTGGAGATGGTGGAACATCTCAAGGAGTCCGAGTATCAGAAGGAGGGCGGCGAGAGAGCGATCTTCGAGATACTGGATAAGCGCTGGCCCGAGAGAGATCGGACGGATGAGATGGGAGAGAACATCACGGAGGTGTTTTCTCTCCGAGCTCGCGAGGGCGAGCTCCTGAGGACTTGGTGCGCCCGAGCTCGAGAGTGATTCGATCGCTGTAGCAGGAAGACCGGAGTGTCCTTCCCGGAAGAGGCAAAGGGTTGGATCGTCCTCAACTACAGCGGGATGAGCGAGGAGCAGAGGGCGGTGGTCCTGGCCAGGACAGGCGGGGACCTCAAGCACGACTCCCTGACCCAGGCCATGAGATCGTGCTTCCCCGAATACACGGTGCCCCGGAAGCGCGGCACGATGGCCGCGCACTACCTCGAGACGGACGAGGACTGCCAGTGGTGGGGCCATGGGTACGAGACCGGCACGGCGGAGGATGCCACGACCGGTGAGGGCGGAGACGCCCCGTTTCAGGATGTGGAGATGTTCCTGGCGGAGCACGGCCAGGAGGAGACGTCTCCTGACGTCGAGGTGTTCCCCGAGAGCGAGGTGGCCGAGGTCTTGGCGGCTACATGGAAGGACCGTCGCCAGGAATTGAACCGGCTGCAGCGCGCCAGGAAATTTCCCCAGGCGGACGACCTGAAGAAATCCTTCAGGGTCGAAATCGAGGAACTCAAACGCAAGACCCAGTGCAACAGATGCGGCCGCACGGGCCATTGGGCCAGAGAGTGTCGTGTGAAGATGCCGGCCGCGAGCTCCTCCAGCGCTGCGCCGACCTCGGCAGGAATGGTGCAACACTTCGTGTGCCATGCAATCCAGATCCCCCCGACCATGTTGGAGCAGCTGAGAAGCCGACGCNNTCCTGGACTCAGGCTGCGGCAAGAGCGTCATCGGCGAGGATACGCTCAAGGCCTTCCGGAAGCTTTGGGCTGAGGCTGGCGTGGACCAGCCCGGTGAGAAGCCCGAGCTGAACACGTTCAGGTTCGGGAATGGCGCCCAGGAGGTGTCTAACCGGCTGGTGGACATGCCGGTGTCCCTGGCAGGACGCCGCGGCATCGTCAAGGCGGCGGTTATCAGTGGCCAGGCGCCACTCCTCCTTTCCCGACCGGCTCTAAAGACACTGGGAGCCAACATGGACTTTGGCCGCGACGAGCTCGGCTTGTTCAATGGCGACCAAGCGATCCCGATGAGCGTGAACGAGGCTGGCCAGTATGTCATCCCCGTGGCAGATTTCAATGCGCCGATCTCCGCGGAACCTCAAGGCACGCCACCTGCCCTAGTGGATGATTGGGTGGTAGCTGATGACGGTCTCAGTGTGACTAGGATCCATCAGATTCCTAGAAGACAGGCGTTTACTCCATGTGCTGAAGGGTGTCCTCTAGATGTGCACCGTTTGTCCGGTTGCCGCCGGACGATGATGAGTCATCGTCATGATGAGGCCCCTCTAGAGGTTGTTGATGATTGGAGAACTCATGATGAGCCTCACAGGGAACTGAGCACTCGCGCCTGGACCGGGCGAACTGTGTTTCAGGTGCATCCGGATCCTCCGGAACAATCCCCTACTGAGGCCGAGGCCGAGACTGCCCCCGATGGGCAATGGACTCCGCATCAATGGAGACAGGTTCAGTCTGCCGCCAAGCGGGCCCGCCGTAAGGTTACCGGTTCTGTAGGGCAGGCGTCCCCGGACAAGGTGCATGTGGTTGAGATCTTCGGAGAGCCAAGGTATACTCTCGAGTGCCTAACTAAGGGACTTAAGGGCGTAAGTGCAGATCTGCTGACCGGCTGGGACCTCCGCCGGGCGGCCGACCGTGACCGACTTTTGGAACTAGTGGCTGCACAGAAGCCTGAGCTACTGGTGCTTGGGTCGCCATGTTCCTGGCTAGGTGGTTGGTATGATGTAGATCCGGTTCATTCCGATGAGAACACTAGGCGAGAGAAGGCTGTGCTTACCAAGCTGCTACTGAACTTCGCGGCCGATGTGGCCAACTGCCAGCTAGCACAGGGCGGCCGGGTGTTTTTCTGCGAGTCTGCGACCTCCGCGGTCTGGGGGTTGTCCAAGTGGCAGCAGTTGTCCCGCCGGATGTTCCAGATCGACTTAGGGAAATGCACAAGGGGAGGTCGCGACAGGCCAATCATGATGAAAGGCCTTGTGTCTCATCAGAACATGACCTCGCTTGGCAAGCGAAGCTCAGGGGAGATTGGAGATTTATCCTCGGGTAAGTTCGTAAAGTCGGTTCTGAGAACAGTGCGTGAGCTACCCCGTTTTGGGGCTTGCCTTGTCCAAGTGGGCTCGGACTTTGATTGCTTCGTTGCCGGGAGAGTGGCTGAGCTGAACGAGCAGCGCCGCGAGCAAATGCTGGCGAGCTTGCAGAAGCTACATGCTAATCTTGGTCATCCGCCAAATCCCGTGCTAGTGCGTGTTCTCAAACATGGTGGCGCTTCGCAAGCGGCCCTGGACTTGGCTCGAGAGTTGTCATGTGAACTGTGTGCGGCACAGAAGCAGCCCAAGCCAGCCCCGCTGGCTCAGACACATCGAGTCACTGAGTTTAACCGGCGTGTCGGTCTTGACGTCAAGTACTTGCCCGGATGGCTCCCCAATCAGAAGATACCGACACTCAACATTGTAGACTACGCCTCGTCCTTCCAAATCATGGTGCCCCTTCCGGGTCGCGAAACCGGCGAACTTCTTCGCCAGGCGTTCCAGGAGCGATGGGTCTCCTGGGCGGGCATTCCTCATGAGATTGTCGTTGACCCTGCGCAAACGAATCTCAGCGATGCGCTGACTGTTCCGCAGGAGTTGGCCGGGTCTGTTGTGACCTCTACTGCTGCTGAGGCTCACTGGCAATTGGGGAAGGTAGAAGTTCATGGTGGCTGGTTTAGCCGGGTTCTCCAGAAAGTCATTGCTGAGTGCGCCCCGCATGATCGCCAGTCATGGCTTGAATGTGTTGTCGGTGCCCACTGCAAAAATGAGCTGATCCAAGTGTATGGCATGACCCCTGCTCAGTACGTTTTCGGTCGTAATCCTAGGGTGCCCAGCAACTTGCTGGACGAGCCTCTTGATGTGATCCCCGCGACCGCTTCCTTGCACGAAGATGCTGTCGCCAGGCGCGTGGCCATTCGCCAGACGGCTCGCCAAGCCGTGGTGGCCCTGCAGGATGACAAGGCTCTTCGGTTGAGCCTGGCCGCCAGGCCGAGGGTTCTTGAGCACCATGCACCAGGGTCACTGGTAGCCTACTGGCGCACTCAGAAGAGCCATGAGGGTACCATCGAACGTGGTGGTCGGTGGTACGGTCCGGCGGTTGTGCTAGGACAGGTTGGTAAGAATCTTGTGGTGGTACATAAGAAGCAGGTGTTTAGGTGTGCACCAGAACAGGTTCGCCGAGCAACGTCAGAGGAACAAGCTCTTGTCTCCACCCCTAATGCTGAGCTGTTAGGCCTCAAACACCTCATAGATACCAATGCTCTTTCCACCAAGCAGTACACTGACCTAGTACCCCTTGATAGGCCGCCGCAAGCTGAGCAAAGCGCACCAGAGCCCGCACATCACATGCCTCTCCCTCCGGCACAGGCGTCTGTTGGAGCGCCGGCTTCCGAGGCTATTGCCCCAGGACGCAACCTAGGACCGTTGTCAGCACCGACTGCAGATGCTGGGCAAACGGGTCAGGGTGATGTGAGTAGGAGTGAGGTGGACCGTAGTGGTGTCAGACGTGCTGAGTCACAGCCCTATCAATCCCGAGAGTCACAAGCCCCAGATACGGATGCCACCTACGGCCCTCTTCGTAGAGTGTCTAGGAAAACATCGCCGGAGCAGCTGCACCGACCAAGTGCTCTGCTACAGGACGACTTCTCTGAGCTGATGCATGAGGTAATTCCCGAACTAGTGTCCCAGACCCTACAAGCCACAATGCCCAGTAGTGCCTCAGACCCTAATTCCCCAGAATCCCTTCCTTCGCGAGGAGTGAAACGCGAGGCTTCTGCTGAGCCTGCCGCTCGTGAGACCAGCCGCAGGGCTACCGAAAGCTCGTCTGAGGACCGTGTTGCCGCTGACGATGAAAGCTTAGCTGTAGAAGCCCTTCTCGTACAGACCGCTGACCCAAAACAAAGCATTGAGAATCTTATGGCCCAAGTCCTCAATAAGCGCCAAGCTAAGGAAGTTCCTGCAGTAGGTAACCCACTTGAACTTCAGAGCCAGGTAGATGAAGCCAAATCTGTTGAGTGGAACACGGTGCTTGGTAGAAACGCTACGAGACTTGTCTTGGGTCGCGAAGCCGAGAGAGTGCGTCAGAAGTTTCCTGACCGCATTAT